TAATCCGTCCCCATCTCCAGCTGTGTGGACGCCACCACTTTCCTCTACTTCAGCTTCTTCGCGCCGCTCATCTACGTGGCCTTCCTCAGGGGCTTCTTTGGGTGAGTCTGGCCGGTCCCTGACCTGCTCTCTGTCCCGCACACCAAGGCTCCAGGGCCACGGGTGCCCTCACGTGGTGGACAGTGAGACTGCGCCATTTGCTTCCTGCGCATGCGCGGGGTGGTAGCCGCACTCGGATACAAGGAAGGCAAGGCTTGCATGGTGTATGTACGCGCATGCGCATAGACGTGCACCCGCGCAGTCTCGCGCCTACGTGCGCGTACACGTGTGTGAACAGATGGAATAGGCCGTCCGTGAACGCGGACTACGGCACTTTCCCCAGCAGAGTGGCTGGGCATGGCGCCCTGCGTTGCTCTCTTGCACTCGTTCATGAAGCAAGCTTTCGCTGAGCACCTACTATGTGCTGGCATTGCTGTAGCCAGTAGACACCACAGGGCAGGATTGAAAACAAGGCTTGTGCCTGTCATCCCAGGAACTGAGGAGGCCGAGGCAGGAGGATCGCAAGTTGGAGGCCAGCCTCAGCAATTTAGGGAGGCAGGCCCTAAGCAACTTTGCGAGATTCTTGTCACAAAACTAAAAAAATTTTTTAAAAGGGCTGGGGGTGGGGCTCTGTGGTGAAGCGCCCCAGTTCCATCTCTAGGACCCCAGTCTGGGCGGTGACCTTCTTAGGGTGGGCCTCTATACCTGGGCCTCTCTGGACTCCCAGGGTGAGGCCCCCAATGCTCTGTCTCCTACCCACCAGCTCGGAGCCCAAGATCCTGTTCTCCTATAAATGCCAAGTGGACGAGACGGAGGAGCCAGACGTGCACCTGCCCCAGCCCTACGCCGTGGCCCGGCGGGAAGGCTTGGAGGCCGCGGGGGCTGTCGGGGCCTCCTCTGCCTCCTATTCCAGCACCCAGTTCGATTCCGCGGGCGTAGCCTACCTGGACGACGTGGCGTCCATGCCCTGCCACGCGGGCAGCATCAACAGCACCGACAGCGATCGGTGGAAGGCCATCAACGCCTAAGAGCGGCCTCCCTGGACCTGCGGGGATGGGACAGACGGGACAGGGGGCCGAGGCCGGACTCCCAGGTGGAGCAGATGAAGGGTTGGGGGCGAGGCCTGCACCTCCTGCCCTCCAGCTCCCAGTTCCCTTGGTGGCCAGTGCTCCAGCCGGGGACCCCTCGTCCTTTTTCCATCCCCTCGCCCCGCTCAGCAGGCCAGACTGGTCTCCCAGGGACAGAACCTCATTGCACAAGATGGCTGCTGCCCACCTCCCCTCACTGCCCCACTCCGCAGCCACTGGTCTCCTCCAAGCGCACAGTGTGGGGGGCCAGCGGTGGCGTGTATATTTTCTTGATTTATTTTTTAATAAAATGGAAAAAAGAGTAGAAGGTGTTGATGTGGAAGTTTCTAGAAGGTGGAGCTGGGTTCCTCCGGGCAGCGTGAGGGGGCACCTCTTGGCTCAACCAAGGGACAGCTCAGAGTCAGCCTGGCCTTCCAGACAAGACCCACCCTCCCCTGGAGGCCAGAACTGCACCCAAAATCTGCCCGAAGACTGTGCATTCCAGAATGTTCTACATGGGGATTCAGACCCCCCCCCTCCCAGGGCAGGGGGCAAACACAAGATCCTTCTGGATCTCTCAAGGTTGCAGTTTCTCCAAAGACCTGCCCCGTGCCCGGTGCAGTGGTGCCCGCCTGTCATTCCAGCCACTGGGGAGGCTGAGGCAGGAGGATGGCAAGGTGGAGGCCAGCCTCCGCCACTCAGCGAGGCCCTGTCTCTAAATAAAATAGAAAAAGGGCTGGGGACCGGGCTCCGTGGTGAAGCTCCTCTGATGTGTGATTATCAGGGCTGTCATTATTAATCATCATTAATGTCATTAATAATAGTTATTATTCATAATTAGCATAATTAATTACTCCCTTGAGATGAGTGTGGGGTGTGAAACTAGCTGTTAGATCCTGAAGACAGACAAAGACCGATTTTTTGGGGGGCAGAGGGAAGGTGGTGACATACTGGAGATTGTACCCAGGGGATGCTTACCCCCTGAGCCACCTCCCCAGGCAGGTGGGGTCTGCAGGTTCTGGGGTGAGTGGGGACACGCGGACAGTGGCATCAGGAACAGCTCCTACGGTCCCCTGGGCTCCTTTACCCTCCACTTTTTTAAAAAAAAATTTTTTTTTATTTCTTCTCCTTGGCTCCCCATGACAGCAGCGTGCTTCCTGCCATGTCACCTACACGGGGTGTGACGTCCCACTCCTGTGGCTGGACCTGCTGTGGGGTGTCCCTGGTCGTGGGTTCCTCTGTGAACGTGAGAAAGGGACGTCCATCCATTCCCCTGTCTCTCCCATCCCTCCACTCCCTTCCCTCCACTCCCCTGCGTCTCATCCAGTGAACTGCTGTCCCCTCCCATTGTGAGTCAGCGTCCCCATATCAGAGAGGACATTCAGCCTTTGGTTTTTGGGGACTGGCTGATTCCACTCAGCATGATCGTCTCCAACTCCATCCATTGACCGGCAAATGGCACATTTCTTCCTTCTTGATGGCTGAGTAATATTCCACGGTGTATAGGGACCCCAGTTTCTTTACCCATCCCCTGTTGAAGGGCACCTCGGTTAGTTCCCCAGTTGAGCTATTGTGAGTTGAGCTGCTGTGCACACTGATGTGGCTGTGTCCCTGTCGTGTGCTGATTTTGAGTCCTTTGGGTATAAACCGAGGAGTGGGACAGCCGGGTCCCATGGTGGCCCCTTCCTAGTTTTCTGAGGCATCTCCACCCTGCTCTCCAGAGTGGCCGCACCAATCTGCAGTCCCAGCAGCCATGGCTGAGTGGACCTTGTCCCCACATCCTCGCCCACATGGATTGCTGCTTGTATTCTTTTTTTTTTTTTTTAAATACTTTTAAAAATACTTTAAAAAAAAATAGATTTGGGGGACATGAGCTGTTTCCCCTCTCCTCTGGCTCTGGGAACCCCTCTGCGAGAAGAACCTTCTAGAAGGTTCCAGGTCTTTCCCTCTCGCTCGGGTTCCAAATACTAACCTTTATCATCGCCCCACGTTGAGGTGCCCCGCGGACTTGCGCCATTTTTGGAGAATTAGCTGTCACCATGTCCACGGGAGGAGAGGGCACACGCGACCCGATTTTCTGCTCCTAAAAACAAACAAAAAAACAAACAAAACCTCAAACAACAATAAAGTCACAACCACCTCCCACGCACAAGCCCCCAGACCCAGTCCTGACAGGTCCTCTTGGTCTGTGTGGGCCATTCTGTGACCCGTATGAGACGATCTCAAGTTCAAGGTGGACCTCAGCAACTTAGCAAAATAATAACAATAATAATAACAATTATTATTATTATTTGGTAGTGCTGGGGATTGAACCCAGGCCCTTGTGCATATAAGGCAAGCGCTCTACCCACGGAGCCCCATCCCCAGCCTTATTTTCTATTTTATTTAGAGCCAGGGTCATGCTGAGTGGCTTAGGGCCTCGCTAAGTGGCTGAGGCTGGCCTCCACCTTGCGATCCTCCTGCCTCAGCCTCCCCTCCCCAACTCCTGGGATGACAGGTGTGTGCCCCATGGCGCCCGGCATAAAGAATCCAATACCCCTGTTTGTCCTTGGGGGAAGGGAGCTGGCAATACTTGGGTCAGAGGTGGGGAAAGATGGGCTCATGTTAGTCACAAACCTGTTTATATTTTCAGGAACATTTTGTGTGTGTGTGTGTGTGTTGGGTGTGGTCGCACGCCTGTCCTCCCAGCGGCTCGGGAGGC